GGGGTCTGCCATGACTCCCCGGTTCCAATTGGCGTGGTGCCCTCCTCACCAGTGCAGTTTTTCAACATTCTCGCTACATGTCGGACCATGGTCTTCAGTCTGAGCGTGAATGAGCATGAGACGGGGAGGACTTTTCCATTTATTGCTGCCTCCAAAACTTCCAGAGGCATTGGCGAGCTCATTTACTCTCTCGGTGACCTCAGTAACCACAGCGCTGGTTACCTTCTCCACGCTTCGGCTGATGTTGCCGACCCCGGTTGCCTCCTTAAAGGCTAGGAAAACTGCGTCACCCAAAAAACTACGAACGTCTTCTTCAGATATGCTGCCCTGTGATCTGGCAGACCCAGAAGAGCTTTTTGAAGATTTGGAAGTGTGTCTCCCCTCAACTTTGCTCCGTTGAAATGCCTCATGAATTTGTATGCATAAAATATTTACAATATCCACACACAATTCAGTAATTACATCCTCTGATGTGAAGTCTAGAGACCTGCCTTGCAGCTTCGACAACTGTATGGTTTTCAGCTTCTCCAGGCTCTGTTGGATAAGTCCGCGAAGACTGTCTATTGTGGCTTGATCCATCTTGTCTGTTAATATCGTTGGATCCGAAGTCCTGAAGAATCTGTGTTTGTGTCCTTGTGAAAGTTTCCTGAAGAATGTGAACTGAACCAGGTTAATTGGGATCCTATATCCATAGTTTCAGACAGAACGTTCACCTTTGTATCAAAGCAACATTCTATTGGCTTTGATCTTTGAATGACATCACAACGGTCCGATGACATCACAGCAAAAGACTAAAGGAATTTGAAAAAAAACACTACATTGAGACATTGAAACAATTTAAAAATAAACACGTAAACTTGGCCATTGATTGTTTGATTTTGTCTCATAATATATATATATATATATATACATATATATATATATATATATAGAGAGAGAGAGAGAGAGAGAGAGAGAGAGAGAGAGAGCGAGAGAATGCCAAAAAGTCAAATTACTGCAGCAAAATATGTCTCCTCATGCCACAAACTGAGGACGACCAGTGGAAACTCAGATAAATGTATAAAATAATTGATTGTTTTAGTTGTAGTTGTTTTTGTTGTTGTTGTTGTTTAATACACACATACACACACACACACACATTTTAATTTTAATATATTTTAATATAATATATATTATATTTAATAATTTGTTATTACTGTTATTTTGACAACAGACTACTTGTTTTAACTGTAGTCTGTTACTTTACTACTGTTACTGAGATTGATTGATTGTGACTGTGATTGTGATTGAGTCAATCATAGTTACAGTATTACCAACAGTATAGATTATTGATTATTATTAATTTATTGTAAATATTGTTTTCCTTTATTGTTATTATTATTATTTTTAATTCCAAATGCTTGCTTTGGCAGTATGTACAGTGGTACGTCATGCCAATAAAGCCATTTGAATTGAAATTGAAATTGAGAGACACCATGTCTGTGTTGCGTTATTGAAAATATAGTTTGACGACATCTCATGATGCACATCTGTTCAGAGCCCTGACCTCTGGAAACTCACCTTTTACAGACAGTCTAGAATTGCATAATTTAAATTAATTAAATTAAATAACTTTTGCCTTAATTAGTGATTCTATGGCTTATGATTCTCGCTGAAAATTTTTCTTCGTAAGATTTTTATAGATTATATACATATAGATATATAGATTCCTTGTAAATATTTTGTTCTCACCACTTTATACATTTGTAAATAAATCTTTAATTATATTTACATGTTTTCACTACTTTGCACTGTGGTTGTTGTTTTTCAAACTGCCGTACAAATCAGGGAGGTTATCATGATCATAATCGACATCATTCATTATTTTCTTTTACATATTAGATTCTGGTCAGAGATGTTACTGATGGGACATTAACAAACTGAAGACTTTATATAATAATAAATAAAGAATTATTACAGTGTCAGTCAGCCTCTGTTCTGCAGCTTTGTCACAGAGAAATGGGCTTTGAGTTTTCACTTATGTTTCACTTTTTACTTTTAAAAAAACAAGATTTTGAAAACAATGGAGTCAAGTTTGGGTGTGAAGAAGTTGTGTTGACTGCTGACACAAATAAACAACAGATATTGTGTTATAGACTCATTTTATTTACTGTTATGTTGATTTTCGTGAAGGTGTCCTGTTGGTTGTGTATTTGTGTTTAGCAATGTCACCTCACATGTTCAGTGTCATTTTAAGTTTCCTCCGTTGTTACACAACCAGTGAGTGACTCAGCTTTTACAAGTTAAATATTAACAACAAACTAATGGAAAATGTGCAGCCTAGTCCTAAAGTGGTTGAACTTCCTACTAATTGAACTTCCTACTAATTTAATTTCCTATTAATTTAACTTCCTACTAATTTAACTTCCTACTAATTTAATTTCCTATTCATTTAATTTCCTACTAATTGAACCTCCTACTAATTTAATTTCCTATTCATTTAATTTCCTACTAATTGAACTTCCTACTGGGGGCTGAAATCCCCCTCAGTGGTGTTGTGGTCTTGTCTTGTCTTCTCCTTCTGTGTCTCCTGTGGTCTCTCTCTCAGCTTCCATTTCTTTGGCTTTCTGCTAACCATAACCTGCTTACTCCCTCTCATATCCTCATGTTTCCTTTGACATTTCACTCTCTGATCTGTCTCACCCTCTGTAGTCCCTGCCTGTCTCTCTCTCTGTAACGCCTCACTGTTCTCTTCTGTCATAATGTGCTAAAAGTAATTTAGTAACATTATACACACCTTCTTCATGTCGTTATCTTTGTGTTTGACTTTACATCAGTTTGGATTTTATTTATAAAGATGTGTCTGAAGGAGTAAAACTGTATTATTGCACTATACTAGGTGTGTCTGCTGTTACATTGAGCTGATAGTTTCCACTGTGAGTACCAAAGAACATGATCTCTGTGGTAATTCCATTGTTTTCACTGGAACAGGTTCAGTTGGTGTTGAACAGCACAGCCACATAATGCTAACTCTATCCTATTGACACATCAAATCATGGTTGTTGTTACCGTTCTGCCCCCATCCAGACCTCCATTGTCTTTAACCCCATAAAGCACTCAGGCATTAGCATGCTAATGGCTCAGTGTTACTGGCAATAGCTGCACCTTTTGTATTCACACCTTTAACCGACCAGACCCGGTTCCCCCAGATCGCCTCCCCTCCCCGTGCATGTAATGTGTATATTCAGCTCCAACAGTTTGCTGTTGTTCTACAGCTGGCATCATGTTTAATCTCTAATTTCTCCATGAAAAACCTCCCAGTACAGTCTACAGTAAGTTATGGGGGATGGTTTAAAAAGTAACATACTGGATTTATTTGTTTAAAATGGCATCTAACATTAAAACACACATTTTGTTCACATTAAAAAAACACATTTTACATTATTTGGATTTTACATATTCTGCAATGATGCATTTGTGTATGCACTGATTGTTTAAGTAAAATGTATATTATTGAATTATTATAACCAATAAAAGGTCTGATTAAGCTGAATTACAGGACAACTCAGTAAAAGCTGATCTGAAGAAGAGTTTACCTCCTAAAAACTGAATTTATCGAGCTCTACTGTAAACAAGTGTTAAACACACAGTATCTTCTTCAGACTCCTCTTCCTGGAATGAATCAGAGCTCGATAACCCAGATAAAGCCTGTAATTGACTGTGTGGTCTGTAATGATGTTAGAATCTGTGGGGAGTTTAAAAAGATTTTATAAGTAACATTCATGAGGACGGACTAAAAACATTTAATAGTTTAAAAGTGTTAAAATATATCACATGTAAGAAAGAGACTTCTGAAATGTTATTTAGTTGTTTTTCTACTGTTTATCTGGTTCTAGTGTTCAGTTTCTAATAGATCTAATAGTGTTAATCTGTGATCCACACAGTGGTCTGACTCTGATAGGCTGAGCTCGAGTCTCCACCCACCAACCTGGAGGGAATCCTTTAAATCCGCTCTCTTCTCCTCACACTGAAGTTACTCTGCTGCACACTTCAACAGAAGAGGAGGTTACTCAGGGACGAAGCATCACCTCATCACTCTCAGGGTTATTTCTCTGGATTTTAAGGTGAGTTGTGGATCTTAAACTGTGTTGTTGTAACATTCTGAGTGAATTACAGTCAGATAGTGTCGAGAGAGGCAAAGTGTGTGTCTGTTGGTAAACTACAACTAAATGTCTGCAATCAAAACCTTGAATAAAAGTATCCAGGTACTGAATGTACTTATATGTGTATGTTGCATGTTACTGCTGTAGCTGTTTATAGTTTAAAACTACTTTCTACATGCCACGGTTGGCCCAGTTTAGCTGTAAATATACAGTGTAAGTTGTATTATTTATTCTTTTATCCTGTTAGTCTAGCTCTGAAGCCCTTATGGTCTTGGTAAAGTGTTTGTTGTTAATAATGAACATTTGTCAATAACTTATGTTTCCCCTTTCCCTCTCCTCTAGATCTGCAGTTTGAAGATGTGTTCAACCATCATGTGATGAATTGACTGACCGATCTCATTAACTGCAGAAACCATTGCTGTTTACTTCAGGGCGCTAACTAGTTGGAGTACTAAGAACGTGCCACGGAGAGGTGAAATGGCGCAGAAAGAAGTTCAACTGGACCGGGAAACCATTTCCTGTCCCATTTGTCTGGATCTACTGAAGGAACCAGTGACTATTCCCTGTGGGCACAGCTACTGCATGAACTGTATTAAAACCTGCTGGGATGAACAAGAGGGGAAGACGGTCAACAGCTGCCCTCAGTGTAGGCAGACCTTCATACCGAGACCTGTCCTGGTGAAAAACACCATGTTAGCAGTTTTAGTGGAGGAACTGATGAAGACTGGACTCCAAGCTGCTCTTGCTGATCTCTGCTATGCTGGACCTGAAGATGTATCCTGTGATGTCTGCGCTGGGAGAAAACTGAAAGCCCTAAAGTCCTGTCTGGTCTGTTGTATCTCTTACTGTGAGAAACACCTTCAGCCTCACTTTGAATCCCCTGCTTTTGAAAAACACAAGCTGGTGGACCCCTGCAAGAAGCTCCAACAGAACATCTGCTCTCTTCATGATGAGGTGATGAAGATGTTCTGCCGTACTGATCACCAGTCTATTTGTCATCTCTGCTCTATGGATGAACATAAAGGCCACGACACAGTCTCAGCTGCAGCAGAAAGGACTGAGAGGCAGAGAGAGCTCGAGGTGAGTCGACAAAACATCCAGAAGAGAATCCAGGACAGAGAGAAAGATGTGATGGAGCTTCAACAGGAGGTGGAGGCTATCAATCTTTCTGCTGATACAGTGGTGGAGGACAGTGAGGGGATCTTCAGCCAGGCGATCTGTCTCATGGAGAAAAGAAGCTCCGATGTGAAGCAGCAGGTCAGATCCCAGCAGGATACTGAAGTGAATAGAATCAAAGAACTTCAGCAGAAGCTGCAGCGAGAGATCACAGAGCTGAAGAGGAAAGACACTGAGCTGAAGAAGCTCTCACACACAGAGGACCACCATTTTCTGCACAACTGCCCTGCACTACCCGAACCCATTGAATCTACAGACTCATCCGGCATCAGAATCTGTCCTCAGAAGTACTTTGAGAATGTAAAAGTGACTGTGTCACAAGTCAGAGATAACCTACAGGACAGTTTAAATGTGAAATGGAAAAACATCTCAGTGACCAATGAGCCCAAAACCAGAGCTGAATTCGTCAGCTATTCATGTCAAACCACAGTTGATGAAAACACAGTACACAGGTTATTGATATTATCTGAGGGGAACAGAAAGGTAACAGCAGTGAGACCACATCAGCCATATTCTCGTCACCCAGACAGATTTATTTTTTGGCCTCAGGTCCTGAGTAGAGAGAGTCTGACTGGCCGTTGTTACTGGGAGGTGGAGTTGGGAGAGGCAGGGGGTAATGTAGCAGTCGCATACAACAACATCAACAGATCAGGGTCGGAGTGTGGATTTGGAAGCTGTGACAATTCATGGGCTTTAAGATATGACAACAACCGTTATTCATTTTGGTACGACAATGTCCAAACTCCAGTTTTAGGTCCGCCATCCTCCAGAGTTGGAGTGTACCTGGATCACAGTGAAGGTATTCTGTCCTTCTACAGCATCTCCACGACACACAAAACCATGACTCTCCTCTACCGAGACCAGACCACATTCACCCAGCCTCTCTATGCTGGACTTGGTGTTAACTTACCTGTTGGAAACACTGGTGAGTTCTGTGAACTTAATTAGAAAGAAGTCCTTCAAAAGGTTCTTCCCTAACGTTGATCAAAGCCACAAAACTCTGTTCATTAAAATTACTGCCTTCAGCATTGATCCCTCTGTTTGCTCAGGTCATTTGAGATGTGATTGTTAAAAATGTCTAGTTTTACTTTAGTTCTAATTAGTTATTGTGTCAGGGGGTTAACTTAGTTTTTTTATTTACTTTATTTACGGATAACAACAAAAGCTTCTTTTAATGGAGTAAATGGTTTTCCCTCTGGGAAACATGACAGTGACATGTTAACAAGGCCAAAAACTGGCTTTTCACACAGTAGTCTGACTCACTGCTCATGTTGTTTTTTTGTTTCCCTGGACAGACTTTTCTCTGCGTGAAAATGTAAACTATTCCCATTGTTTCTCTGTATGGGTTTTTTTGTCATTATATTACAATAAAAATATTTTCAAGAACAAATATACTTTCACATCTACTTATTTCTTCCTCTGTAAGTGAATGAGTTTTCATGGGTGGTGCTCCTTTCTGGGACTGTTGAGCCATGGAGGCTATCACATTAACATTTATGTGTTTGACAACCAAATGTACATGAGCTACCATGAGCTACTATAATGATCACAATCATAATCAATGAGGAGATCATCTGCACGATGACACATAGCAATTATTTTAACAGATATTGTGATTGAGAAATGAATTCTAATTAGCGTGTATTCGATTGCTTTTGAATCAAAAGGTTAATTTTCACTGGACAGGCGATTCAAATCATGATAGTGGGACTTTTTGGGGGCTCTGTACCAAACAAACACGTTTTCTTAAATCTGGAAAGGATTTGTAGGCCAAGGAGTCTATTCAGAACTTTATTATAAAGCTGTTTTGTCCCGATTTGCATATTGTGTTTTTGATAATATTTCCATTAAATGTGCATTCCTATCCTAAATACTACTTTGGCTACAACCTGAGAACCATTGTGAATAGTATTTGTAAAGTGGATGGTCTTCTCTACTATGTTTCCAATGGGACCTGAATGCCGCATCAATATTGACTGATGGATTGACATCGTGTGGCATTTCATATATTTATATATCTCTCAACTGATGTTGTTCTTTTTATGTTAGCAGCAGGTTAACAACTCAAAAGGGAAAACTGATGCCCGACACCAGAGGGTGCCTTCATCCTGCTAACCAGGGATATAGTGGAGGTTAAAGAACCTCAGTTCACGTTTGCAGTTTTGGTGAAGAACATGTTTTTGAGATTGTATTTTATGATAACATTTAAAATAAAAATGTCAGGTCTAGTAAATCACGCATACAGTTTTGATAAATCATGAAGACTTCATCTTTTTCTAGACATAAACTGAAACTTGATGAGAACATGATCAAGGCTACATTTGGTGGGCTTGGGTCACTGTGACAAAACATAAAGGATACGTATGAAATAGTACATTGTCCTTATTCATCCAGTCATTCCAGTCACTTAACTGAGAGCCCAATGATATGGAGCATTCCTGTCTGCTGGGATTCAGAGTTGAACAAATAACTACCTGGATTTATTTGTTTAAATTGATTGAACATTAAACCCCTTGTGATTAAAATATACATTCTTTTAAATTTAAAATGGTTTTCAAAAATGCTTAGAAAGGACTTTATCAAGTAATAATGTTGAATTATTACCTTAACATTTCATTAGCTTTACAGCAGTGAGTCATTTAACTATTATTTATGTCTTGTATTTGAATCATGGTAATCAATCAAAAACGTTTTAAAGTTAATTACAGGACAACTCAGTAATGCTGAAAATTGGGGAGACATTTCCAAACCCTCTGATCATAAGAGTATCTTTACTTCCCAAAAGCTGAAGTGAACAGTATTTTATAATGAGCTCTATTATAAGTGTTAAACAGTATCGCTCTGTAACTCAGTAACTGCTCCTCTTCCTGGAATGAATCACAACATGATAACTCCTCCCTCTTCTTCCTGCTCTCAAACACAGCGAGCTTCACTCTGTCCATGTATTTCCTTGTTCCCTCCCCTTTAGATCAGCAGTTTGAGGATGGGTGTAACCAACATGTGGTGTAGTGCAAGAGATAAGAGACCCTATTCATTCAGAGATCAAACTAGTTTCATTTCTGTGGAAGTGAGACTCAGACAGTTGTTGTCACTGAGAGGTGAAATGGCGCAGAAAGGAGTTCAGCTGGAGAGGTAAATTATTTCTGTTTGATCTGTCTGGATCTACTGAAGGATCCGGTGACTATTCCCTGTGGACACAGCTACTGCATGAACTGTATTAAAAGCTACTAGGATGAAGACTAGGAGGAGGAAATCCAAAGCTGCCCTCAGTGTAGGCAGACCTTCACACGAGTCCTGTCCTGGTAAAAAGCTCCATTTTAGCAGATTTAGTGGAGCAACTAATGAAATTTTATAACTAGATTCGGGAACAAAGACCACGCCCCAAACTCATCTCATTTCCGTTCAATACATATTCAAGCACACCTTTTCCGTTCACTCCCTCCATGAGTAATTTTCTACATCCCTCCCCCCAAATACCCTTCTTTATTTTGTTTTCTCTCTCTTATGAACCACTGGGGCTCACGAAGAGATACGAAACCGTTCCCCCACTCAGCGTCTCAACACCCACTCTGTTCCTCCTGACCATCTTGCAGAACTCCTCCCCTCCATCCACCTATCCCACCAGCTTTTCTCCCTTTCTATCAACCCTCACCCGTCCTTCCTATACCCCCTCATCCCCCAACCCTCGACCCTTTCCCCCATCCCTCGACCCCTTCCCATCATCCCTTAATCATTCCATCCCCTCCATCCCAGGGATAAACTACAGGACGTTCTGAGGGAGAAATGGACAAACGTCTCACTGACAGTGACTGAAGTGGATGTTTTACTGCCACAACCAGAGCCCAAGATCAGAGCTGGATTCTTACAATATTCACATGAAATCACACTGGATCCAAACACAGCAAACACACTGCTGTTATTATCTGAGGGGAACAGAAAAATCACAAGTGAACAACAATTTAACTGTAATCGCCCAGACAGGTTCACTTCAAGTAGGCAGGTCCTTAGTAGAGAGAGTCTGACTGGACGTTGTTACTGGGAGGTGGAGTGAAGCAGAAGGAATTAATATAGAAGTTGTATACAAGAATATCAGCAGAGATCAGAGCTTTGGCCACAATCTAGAATCTTGGACATTACATTATTACAAACAAAGTTATACTTTTCAGCACAACTTTGTCCAAACTCCAGTCTCAGGTCCTCAGTCCTCCAGAGTTGGAGTGTATCTGGATACACAGTGCAGGTATTCTGTCCTTCTGCAATGTCTCTGAAACCATGACTCTCCTCCACAGAGTTCAGACCACATTCACTCAGCCTCTCTATGCTGGACTTGGTCTTGGCTTCTGGTATGGAGAAACTGCTGAGTTAATTGCACTACGACACATTCCTTGTATGCTTCAAAACCTACTTGGCAATAAACAAAATTCTGATTCTGATTCTGATTAATTAAACTAAAATAGTCAATGGTTTTGTAATGGGCATTGGGTTAGATTCTGTCATTTAATTTAAACTTGTTTTGTCACATTTTTGTTGCTGAGACCTGATTGACCATTATTGGTGGTACTTTGACAACTTCTCATTAGTTTTTCTGTTCGTCACTGCTCATGATGATTCTTGTTTACCTGAACTAACATATCTTTCTCTGAATGAAATTGGCAACTTGTCTATGCCTTAAATCTTTATTGTATTTGTATGCGGTTTCTCTTCTACTGCATGGGTTTTAAAACTGCTTTATTGTAGATATTTTGTTCCACCACTTTTGTTAATTTGTAAAGAAATCCCTTACATTTTGTTCAGATCAAATGTTGTTCCAGTGTACAAACTCTGAGGTATTTTAAAACTATAA